CAGGTGTCCAGTCTGTCCAGGTCTCATTGAAGTCCTGCCTGATCCTCATCTGATTTAATTTTCCTCATTAACTTTACATCATCTGCGAACAGGTACACTTCTGAGTCTACCCTTCCATCATGTCTTTAACATATACCAAAAATAGCACTGGTCCTACGACCGACCCCTGTGGGACCCCGCTCGTCACAGGTGCTCACTGTGATACCTCATCACGTACCATGACTCGTTGTTGCCTCCCTGTCAGGTAATCTCTGATCCATTGCAGTGACCTTCCTGTTATATGCGCCTGATCCTCTAGCTTCTGCACTGATCTCTTGTGAGGAACTGTGTCAAAGGCCTTCTTGCAGTCCAAGAAGATGTATTCAACCCACCCCTCTCTCTCGTGTCTTACTTCTGTTATTTTATCATAAAACTCCAGGTGTGTAGGTGTGTGTGTGTGTGTGTGTGCGTGTGTGTGTGTGTGTGTGTGTGTGTGTGTGTGTGTGTGTGTGTGTGTGTGTGTGTGTGTGTGTGTGTGTGTGTGTGTGTGTGTGTGTGTTTATGTGAGTGAATGTACTCATCTAGTTGTACTCACCTAGTTGAGGTTGCAGGGGTCGATTCCAAGCTCCTGGCCCGCCTCTTCACTGGTCGCTACTAGATCACTCTCCCTGAACCGTGAGCTTTATCATACCTCTGCTTAAAGCTATGTATGGATCCTGCCTCCACTACATCGCTTCCCAAACTATTCCACTTCCTGACTCTGTGGCTGAAGAAATACTTCCTAACATCCCTGTGATTCATCTGTGTCTTCAATTTCTGTGTCCACTTGTTGCTGTGTCCCATCTCTGGAACATCCTGTCATTGTCCACCTTGTCAATTCTTCTCAGTATTTTGTATGTAGTTATCATGTCCCCCCTATCTCCTGTCCTCCAGTGTCGTAAGGTTGATTTCCTTAACCACTCCTCGTAGGACATACCTCTTAGCTCTGGGACTAGTCTTGTTGTAAACCTTTGCACTTTCTCTAGTTTCTTCACGTGCTTGGCTAGGTGTGGGTTCCAGACTGGTGCAGCATACTCCAATATGGGCCTAACGTACACGGTGTACAGGGTCCTGAACTATTCCTTATTAAGATGTCGGAATGTTGTTCTGAGGTTTGCTAGGCGCCCATAAGCTGACGCAGCTATTTGGTTGATGTGCGCTTCAGGAGATGTGCCTGGTGTTATACTCATCCAAAGATCTTTTTCCTTGAGTGAGATTTGTAGTCTCTGGACCCTAGACTGTACTCCGTCTGCGGTCTTCTTTGCCCTTCCCCAATCTTCATGGCTTTGCACATGGTGGGGTTGAACTCCAGCAGCCAATTTCTGGACCAGGTCTGCAGCCTGTCCAGATCCCTTTGTAGTTCTGCCTGGTCTTCGACCGAATGAATTCTTTTCATCAACTTCACGTCATCTGCAAACAGGGACACTTCGGAGTCTATTCCTTCCATCATATCGTTCACAAATACCGGAAACAGCACTGGTCCTAGGACTGACCTCTGTGGGACCCCGCTGGTCACAGGCGCCCACTCTGACACCTCGCCACGTACCATGACTCACTGCTGTCTTCCTGACAAGTATTCCCTGATCCATTGTAGTGCCTTCCCTGTTATCCCTATCTGGTCCTCCAGTTTTTGCACTAATCTCTTGTGTGGAACTGTGTCAAACGCCTTCTTGCAGTCCAAGAAAATTCAGTCTACCCACCCCTCTCTCTCTTGTCGTATTGCTGTCACCATGTCATAGAACTCCAGTAGGTTTGTGACACAGGATTTCCCGTCCCTGAAACCATGTTGGCTGCTGTTGATGAAATCATTCCTTTCTTGGTGTTCCACCACTCTTCTCCTGATAATCTTCTCCATGACTTTGCATACTATACATATCAGTGACACTGGTCTGTAGTTTAGTGCTTCATGTCTGTCTCCTTTTTGAAGACTGCGACTACATTTGCTGTCTTCCCTTCCTCAGGCAATCTGCCTGTTTCGAAAGATGTGTTGAATATTGTTGTTAGGGTACACATTGCGCCTCTGCTCCCTCTCTCAGGACCCATGGAGGGATGTTATCCGAGTACATTGCCTTTGAGGTATCTAGCTCACTCAGAAACCTCTTCACTTCTTCCTCGGTTGTGTGTACTGTGTCCAGCACTTGGTGGTGTACCCCACTTCTCCGTCTTTCTGGAGCCCCTTCTGTCTCCTCTCTGAACACTTTTTTGAATCTCATGTTGAGTTCCTCAAATACTTCACGATCGTTTCTTGTTGTCTCTCCTCCTTCCTCCCTTTGCCTGATTACCTGGTCCTTGACTGTTGTTTTCCTCCTGATGTGGCTGTATAACAGCTTCGGGTCAGATTTGGCTTTCGCTGCTAGGTCGTTTTCATATTGTCGTTGGGCCTCCCTTCTTTTCTGTGCATATTCATTTCTGGCTCTTCGACTGCTCTCCTTATTCTCCTGGGTCCTTTGCCTTCTATACTTCTTCCATTCCCTAGCACACTTGGTTTTTGCCTCCCTGCACCTTTGGGTGAACCATGGGCTCATCCTGTCTTTTTCATTATTCCTGTCACCCTTGGGTACAAACCTCTCCTCAGCTTCCTTGCACATTGTTATATATATTCCATCATCTCATTTACTGGCTTCCCTGTCAGTTCTCTGTCCCACTGAACCCCGTTCAGGAAGTTCCTCATTCCCGCGTAGTCCCCTTTATTGTAGTTTGGCTTCGTTCGCCCGGTCCTTCCTGCTTCCCCGTCCACTTGTAGCTCTACTGTGTATTCGAAGCTTAAAGCACATGATCGTGATGTCCTCAGTATCTGCACTGTGTGTGTGTGTGTGTGTGTGTGTGTGTGTGTGTGTGTGTGTGTGTGTGTGTGTGTGTGTGTGTGTGTGTGTGTGTGTGTGTGTGTGTGTGTGTGTACTCACCTAGTACTCACCTAGTTGAGGTTGCGGGGGTCGAGTCCGAGCTCCTGGCCCCGCCTCTTCACTGATCGCTACTAGGTCACTCTCCCTGAGCCGTGAGCTTTATCATACCTCTGCTTAAAGCTATGTATGGATCCTGCCTCCACTACATCGCTTCCCAAACTATTCCACTTACTGACTACTCTGTGTGTGTGTGTGTGTGTGTATGTGTGTGTGTGTGGAATAAGGGGTAATTATTAAAGCATTAACAAGGGTGTAAGAGAAGGGGGCAGCCAGTCCTGTTCTCCCTGATGTTGATGATATGATAAGAGAAATTATCTATAGATGTGGGCTGTAACTGTCACTTTCTTGTAGTAAACACCATTATAACTGCAGCTGATATTGTTACTTTGGTTGATACAAATAAACATAGTTTATTGAGTATAATGAATATAATGTATTATTTGAAATTACATATTAACACAAGGAAATGAAAATCCCAAGAGAATAAATAATTTCGGTAATATTATCAGCAAGTATGAAATCCCCGAGCAATTTAAATACTATATTTAGATCATTGCATACATTGATTTATAAGACAACAGTGAAGTATAAATGAGTCTAAATATTCTTTATGGAATATTTAAATCTGTTTTTAGAGATTTTAAAAGAATCACGTTGTTTTATTACAAGGAAAGTATTTTCGATCAATTATAATTAGTCTTGTTTTTGTTTTTTGTAAAATATGGCTGTAATTTTTATGTTTTTCCAAAATTTTCATTAAAATTGACTACATCAATTTTTTAAAAATAATTTGGACATAATAAAGGTTGGAATATGTTGGCCCAAAAAACTATGACGCAACAAGAATTATATAGTTGACAACAACACTTTACTAGTTGCCAGAACTACATCATCGAGGCTGATGGACTGATTACGTCGCCTTCACATCTCTACTTCTTCTGCTGACTAATCTATATTCGACTGAAGAAGCCTGCTGTGTAGGAGAAACGTTTCGGAATAAAGATACCTAACTGTTGCACATCTTTTTCTTCAACTTGTTGGTAATGTATATATAACCCCTTTCATATTCGCATCTTTGTGTAAAAATTTAGTTTAGTGTTTAGCATTTATGTTAATTCTGTGAAATATGTATTTGTTTATTCTCTGCTGCATGAAGGAAATCACACTAAAACTCGTGATTGCAAACATTAAAGAAATGCCACAGTGAAAGGAGGAAATGAATCCTGAGTTCTTTCATCTGTTTACACACACATCTTCAGAGGAATAGGTTTTATTTCCAATTTTCACTGTGGATTTACGTTTAATACTCTGCTGTATATTGCACAATAGAGCTTTGATTTATTAATTAATGCTATTCATACGTTAGACTTATACATATACATATTAGACATAGCATACAGGACATATATTTATTAAATGGGTCATGAATAAGTTAGACAGGCCAAAAATAAGTTAGAAATGATATACGTAAACTATACAGGGAATTCGTTAGTATTAAATACGGAAGTAGACTGATCCTACATTATTTAGACAGGTCATATGTAAGTTAGAAAGTTCAAAAATTCGTTAAACTTGTAAAACATATGTTTGTCATACATTATTTAGACAGGTCGTGCATAAATTAGAAAGGACAGACATAAACAGGTCATATAAAAGGTAGATATGACATAGGTAAGTTAGACAGGACAAACTTTAGTTAGATAAGTCATACATAATAAGTTAGACTGGACTTATACAGGTTAATCAAAACATGCATTTATTGTCAGGAAGACGTCACTAGTGACCATAAGTCGCCCGACGGCTAAAATATTCGAAGTTCACCAGAATTTTATATACCATAGAACAAAAACAGTTGTTCCAAAAACCCAACAAAATAACTACAATTTTTTTTACGATTCTACTACTATTTATAATAATAATAATAATAATAATAATAATAATAATAATAATAATAAAATTATTATTATTATTATTATTATTATTATTATTATTATTATTATTATTATTATTTTATTATTATTTTCAATATTAGTAATAGTAATATCGCATTATTGTTTACATTTGATCTATGACACTCACCAATCTGCTCTGGTCCATTGGGGTCGATGATCTGGTATCCCAGCTGTTGGCCAGCCTTGAGAATGGCATTCATAATGGGTGTACCCCAGCGCTTCGTCTCCACGCTGGCCGGGCCTCCATACCCGTGGTATGATGCTGCATCACCCACGGTGGAATAAGGTGTACAAAAATTGCATCATAAATACAATCATTACTTGCTGTTACGACAATAATTAAATGATAAGCTTTTTTTAACAAGAGATTATATTGGTTGATTTTACCCAGACTTACTGACTTAATATAAATTCAGTTTTTTGAGAAATTGATCAGAATAGCTTTTTAATAGTATATCTAAATAAAAAGGATATAATTAAGATGTTATATACTTCATTTAAATGATTTGCCGTCAAAATTATTAGGAAAAAAAGCATATTAGCTTGCCTACCACCGACTAAACTTAATCTATGAAATAATTAAAGAAATAATTCAGAGAAAAAAATCAGTGGGGAAAAAGCGACAGTTGTTGGTCTCTCTGTGTAAGAGTAAATACACTGATGATCTACTTTAAGCTCTATTTGAGGGATCAAAGTATTCTTGAATGGTGATAAACAGGCTACCAACAGTCTTAACTTTTGGTATTCCAAGGCCCCTTTAGGGACCCACATTTGGAAAGGTTCCGGAGCTTAATCTGGACACAAACAAGTGTAGAAATTGCCTCTAACCACAAGAAATCAGATAGTTCTAACTCCTTCCCGAGAGAAGTGATGAGATATGACCCTGTGTAGTTCCAGACCTGGGAAAGGAACATCTACAGTCGCTTCTAAGATGGAATAATTACTGTTTAGACTCACTTTCAAAATAATAATAATAATAAACTCTGAGAGGTGCGGATAAAATTAAGAATAATAAAAATTCTTAGAATAAGTCAATCTGTAACGTACTTGAAGTACATTCAAATTCACAAGAAACTTTAAACTCAGTTCACCAACTAAAAAAGCTAGAGGAAAAAATCAATGGAATTTCTCGTTCTCGTTTAAACCTGTTTACTGCGAGCATCCACAGTTCTTATTGAAAAATAATTGTTTTTAACAGTTGCCTGAAAATATACATGATTCCGGGGGTCAACGCCCCCGTGGTCCCTGGTTCCAGATCAGGCCTTCCATTGAGTCAAAGTCTAATCAACTAGGCTATTAATGCTGGCTACTCATACTGCATCGTACGAACTACATTCCAGTTGATTTGTGGAACTTGTTCACTGTGCCTTTGAAGACACCTAGACGTTCGTTGGTAATATCCCCTATGTAAGGAAGGAGGGTGTTGAAGAGTCGGGGACCTCTGACACTAGACGAGTACTTTCTTAGTGTACTTGCTTTTTATTGGTAGTACTTCCACCTGTCTGCCAAGTCTCTTGCTTTCACATGGTGCAACTCCGATGAGCAGGTTCAGGACTTGTCCCTTCAGGGTTTTCAAGGTTCTGTGTATGTTTTCTAGCTCCGCAATCACGCCTACCATGATGGGATTTTTTTTTCTTTGTAAAGCAGCAGTATGCTTGCTTGGAGAATACAAATTACTTTAAGAGTATCATCATTAGCTCAGGTGGCCGTTAAATCCAGTCTTGAGCCTAAGCTTAGCTCTGCTAACTAAACTTAAAACCTAATCTAACCAAATCTAACCTAACCTAACCCACAATAACCTAACCTGTACTAACTATTCTTGAGTCATGGAGTACCAAACATTTCTGGATTTGATTTATTAGGTTCTTTCAATTGACTCTTTTTTTTTTTTTTTTTTTTGCTAATTTTTCTTAGGATCAAAAGTCTGTTCAGTTTTTATACTTTTTATGGATTTTTTTTCTATGAATTTTTGGTTTACCAACTAAGTTGGATAGTATTTACCAGTCATAATTTGTTCAGACATTCTGAGAGCATTATCGGAGTAATGGTCTCAGAATACTGGTAGCCTTCAAAAGGCATTTAAATTTACATTAAAGATCTTGGACTTCGAAGTGCAGGTTTGAGCAAAAACCAGACAACTTTAGCACCATCCATTAAGTTTCCAGTCAACTTTAGCACCATCCATTAAGTTTCAGTATTTACAATTCATAATTTGTTTCAGACATTCTGAGAGCATTATCGAGTAATGGTCTCAGAATACTGTTAGCCTTCTTAAATCAGCAATTTAAATTACATTAAAGATTTTTGAACTTCGAAGTGCAGGTTTGAGCAAAAACCAGACAACTTTAGCACCATCCATTAAGTTTCCAGTCAACTTGAGCACCATTCATTAAGTCTCCAGTCACTTTGAGCACCATTCATTAAATCTCCAGTCAACTTTTGCACCATCCATTAAGTCTCCAGTCAACTTTAGCACCATCCATTAAAGTCTCCAGTCAACTTAGCACCATCCATTAAGTCTCCAGTCAACTTTAGCACCATCCATTAAGTCTCCAGTGTTAGACAGCGACTCATTGGAGTACAATCACTCTTCTGGAAAAGTTATTAATATAAGAATCTTAGGGGAAAAAATATACAAGGGTTACTGGCACATACTGTGAAGGTTTAAATTCTCAAAGAATTTGTTTTAAAAGCGCTAGTTAGCAATTTATCCAACGTTAATATGAAACTAATGTTTCTATATCTAAGTTTAATAATGCTGAGACCATTCAACACCACTACTAATTCTACAATCAATTCTCAGAATTAGGTGAAGGTGGTTAATATATATCATGTTTTTTTGTTAACATTAATGTTACTTATGCAGGAAGATTGTGATACGAGAATAAATTCTTGGGTACATAAAAAGTCTGCTGTGGTAGTGAAAGTTACTAATCAGGTAGACATATCAAGCCATACCATGGTTGGGGATAGAACCCGCGTCGTTCTGGAGTTTAATGACTCTTCTGATAGTGGGTTCTATCCCCACCCTTGGTATGGTTTGTTTGCAATCGTGTCATTACGATTTCGTCAGTCAGGTAGACATATTCTTGTCACTGAGTATAAGCTTCTACTATCGTACAGAACATAACGTACAATAAAAAATGTGCACGAGCAATTCCCCGTCCACACAGGGGAATTGCTTTCTTTAAGCAAGCAGTAAACATACTTAGTAGACCAACTTCCAGCTGAAGCAAATGGATGTAATAATGTGTTTACATTTGAAAATAAGTTCAATAAACACATTCCTTAAGTTTCCATCTTGGTGTATTTACTCCGCCATCAAACCTTGATAACGAATGATATAAAAGTAATGCGGAACAAGCTCATATTAGGATAACTTTTGGTTCTGGTTCAGTTTCATCATGTCAAGACTTTCAAGAACGAAATTTTACACAGATAACCCGCACATAGAAGAGAGGAGCTTACGACAACGTTTTGAGAGAAGGAGGGAGTACGTACAAGCCAGCAGACATTGATGAGAGCAAGATAGGTTGTAGAGGTAGAGTAGTAGTATAGTAGTAATGGTGACAGTAAATGGTCCAAGTCGGACCGAAAAGTCGTGGTAAGCTCCTGTCTTCTATTTACGGGTTATTTGTGTATTGCTCCTGTCACAATATTGTGCCTTTTTTGTTATTTACGAAATTGCCTTCAGAATTGTCGGCCCTAAGTCATTCGGATCTACACACGACCTACTTTGGGTCAATTGAATTGCCCCGATTGGGGTTTAAAAATTTCGTTTTTTAAAATTTTTAAAAAATTTTTGCCCCCCTTAAAAAACCCAATAAAGAAATGTTGTAATAAAAGAATAAATGAAATTCAAAATGAACTGCACTGATAAAGGAATGTGTAATAAAAAAAATTTCTTGATGACGAACTGCTTTGATAAAAAGCTGCCCGTGAAAAAAGGCTGATGTGATAAAGGTGCCCCTTTCCCCGTGATAAAAGTGCTTTGGGGAAAAAAGTGCTGCCCCGTGATAAAATGTGCTTGGTGATAAGTTCTTTTGTGAAAAAAGTGCCCGCCCCGTGATAAAGGTGCCTGCATGTGATAAAAATTTTTCTTGGTGAAAAAATTTTGCTGCCCGTGGGTAAAGTGCTGTTTGTGATAAAGTCCCCGTTGTGATAAAGTGCCCCCCCTTTTGATAAATGGGGCCCGCCCCCCGTGATAAAAATTTTCCCGTTGTGATAAAAATGCTGTTTTGATAAAGTGCCTTGGTGTCCCGGGTGTTAAAAGGGGCCCGTGGAAAGTTTTTTGCCCTTTATAATGTTTCTGGTGAAAGTGGGTCCGCTGCCTGTTTTTATTTAAAGTGCGCTGTGATAAATTTCTTTCTGTGAAAAGTCGTTATAAAATTGGGGTGATAAAGTGCTGCTGGTTTATAAAGTCCCCGCTGTGATAAAATGTGCTGTGTAAATTTCCCGTTGTGATAAAATTTCCCGCTGTGATAAAATTTCTGCTGTGTATAAAGTGTGCTGTGATAAAGTGTTGCTGTGAAAAAAGTGCTCCTTTATAAAAGTGCTGCTGTGATAAAAATGCTGCTGTGATAAAATGCCCGCCCCCGTGTAAAGTGCTTGCCCCGCGATAAAGTTTCTGCTGTGATAAAGGCTGCTGTGACAAAGGGGCTGTGTGATAAAATGCTGCCCGTTTTAAAGTGCCTTTCCCCCGTGAATTTAAAATGGCCCGCTGTGAAAAAAGTGTGCCCGTGTAAAAATGGCCCGCCCCGTGATAAAAATTTGCCCGTGATAAAAATGCCCCGCCCCGTATAAAGTGCTGCCCCGTGATAAAAATGCTGCTTGGGTAAAGGGCCTTTCCCGTGATAAAAAATGTGCCCCGTGATAAAATTTTGCTTTTAAAAGTGCCCGGTGTGAATTAAAGTGCCCGCCCGTGATTTAAAAATGTGCTGGGGTAAAAAGTGCTTTTTTGACTGGGGGGTGTGATAAAGGTCTTAAAAAAATTGCTGCCCCGTGATAAAAATGCGCCCCCTTTATAAAGTGCCTGCTGTGATTTAAAATGCCCGGGTGTGATAAAGTGTGCTGTTTAAAGTGCTGCCTGTGGAAAAAAAGTGTGCTGTGAAAAAAGTTTCTTTCCCCCTGATAAAGTGCCCGCCCGTGATAAAGTCTGCTGTGAAAAAAGTTGCTGTGATAAAGTGCCCGCTTGGGAAACGTACTGCCCCCGTGAAAAAGTGTGCTTTTGTTTAAATGCCCGCCCGTGTAAAATGCTGCTGT